AAGGCCCGCAGCGCTTCGTGAGCCGCTCTCTGAGGTCGAGGTCGAGGTCGGCCGCTCTCACGAAGTTCAGCCAGCGCAGCGTCGGCAGCACGAGCCCCAAAGACGGCCAGCGGGCCAGGAGGAGGGGTGCCAGCGGCAGCCAGCCCCAGGTTCTCCACAAAGGCGGGGGCCAACCAGAAGGACGGGTACGGCTTGCCGGTCGCCAGCATGGACAGGGTGGCATCGTACGGGGCGGAGCTCGCGTGGTTCCGCAACTGCTGGAGGAGCCTCTCCCAGCCAGGGAAAGTGTGCGGCGCAGCCCGCGTGATGGTGGCGACGGCCAGGTGCCCCCACCGCGTGCAGCGCGGGCCGCCCCACTGAGCGATCTGCGTCCAGAAGTCGAGGGCGAAAGTGCCGAGCGGGATGCGGAACACCTGCGCGAGCGTCGCCAACTCAGGCTGCAACGCTGACGATGGCGGCCAGCAGAATTGGGCAACGTAAGATATGGTCGTGACTGCCCGAGTATTGTACAGTGTAGCGGAAAGGCTGGCGGGAGTGGTTCCCCGCCCGATGGCTTGGGCCCTGAGACGCAATTTGGCGACGGGATCAATCCAGGATGTGGACGGAACAACAGCAGGCCCCAGCCAGAGGCCCAGGTAGAGCAGCTTGGGAGCCACCTCGAACGAGCTCCACTCGGGGACCAGATGGGAGACCCAGTAGGAGACTGTGGCTGAGAGGTCGGGCGAGAACCTGTCAGACAGCGGGACAATCTTGCATTTCGAGACCTTCAAGGCGAGGTTGGCCATGTCCGAGGCCATCTTCATAACCCGATATACATGAACTAGGTGCCGTATGGTCAATAACGTGCCCCCAATGTCATCAGCACAGGCCCGAACCAGGCCAAGGCCAGCGGCCTCCACCCGAGAGGCCAGGTCGACCAAGAAGACAGCCGTACTCAACGCATAGAGAGTGCCCGATAAGGCACAACCTTGGATGATGCCGCTCTGGATCCAGAAGATATGCACTAGCGAGCCTAGGTGCGAGACAACCCCTTCCACCGATGCATATAGGAACGTGACGAAGGACACGAATGCTTCAGGCAGCTTGAGGGCCCTAAGGGAGAGAATGAGGAAGTCCTGATTCAGGGACGGGAAGGCCTGGCCGACGTCCAAGGAATACAGCACAGGGATATCGGTAGACCCGTGAGGCACGACCGACATCTGACGGCTCGACACGTCGAGCTCGAGGATGTTGTTGCCGAAATTCCTACCCGGAATGAATCCACGCTGGCACGGCGGGGCGAGAGATACCAGGGCGGGTCGGATCGCCCGATTGACAGTGGATGAGATGAGCTTCCGGTCACAGTTCCTGAGGCCCAAGACCCGAACCTTGTCTGGGGAGCGGGAGCAGCTGGCATCGCGGAGCTCCAAGTCCGTGACGTTTTTGGGCAGAAAAATCTGGATCGTGTCACTAGTATTCGCAAAAAGCTCCTGGCCCCTGAGTACCCAGCCAAGAGCGTCCCATAATATGTCAGCCCCCCACGAGGACGCCGCCCACGCAGCATACGGGAGAGCATCAGGCCCAGGAGCAGAGTGTTGGGCAGACCGAATCGCACGCCGTAGCATATTTTTCGACGGCGGGGGGAGGTGTAGGTCGGCAGGAAGGTCGGGGGCAAGGCGGCGTAGGTAGGGAGCAGCAGCAGCGGCCTCCCACGGCTTTTTCTGGAAGACAGGGGCCCAGTGCTCCGAGAGCACCCGCAGTCGATCAGATGGAACGCTGACCGCAGAGCCATCAGGCGCAATAACCGCTGAGAGCGATATCCTTCGGTTGAGAGGGGACCAGAGACGAGCGCGCCGTTCAAGTACGCGGACCTGGGCACGAATCTGGACGCGGTCACCTTCACGCCGTCTGCGATCTTCAAGTTCAGCCTTCGCGGACTCAGCAGCCTCAGTCTGGACCTGGTCGACCCAAGCCTGGAAGGACGGCGGGTGGCGGATCTCGACCTTCCCGTCGGTAATCGATATCATGTCAATGGCCAGGGGGTGGGAGTCCTGGAGCCTGGAAGCCATGCGCAGGTCTTGCCTCCAAACCACACGGGCCAGAGCACGAGCGAGCAGGAGGCAGGTGTGCGGGTGATGTGGCCTGTCCCGAAAGAGGGCGTCCCTGGTCTCCGCGGCCGAAATCTTCAAAAGCTCCTTGTACTTTTCAACCTTGAACGGGGGCGACATGGAGTCCCACGGGATGCAGGAGCACAGCCCCTCCAGTCGCCGCTTGAAACCAGGCTCCGAGAACAGGTGTTTGGGAATGGGGCGGGGCTCCACTGGGCGAGGCGGGCGGCAGGCAAGCGAGAGAACAACGGCAGCATGGTCAGAGATCTTTTTGTCAAAGACAGCCGCCGGCGAGCCAAGCGTGCCAATCTGGACAAACAGCTGGCAGAGCTGCCAGCCCGTGATCGAGCAGAAGACGCGGTCGATCGTCGCGCACGAGTCGTTGAACTTCTCGTAGCGCGTGGGGTCCTCGCACGCAATCTCGGTCAGGAGGGCGAGGGCCTGGCGCCACTTGGGCGCCTGCACGTGGTGGCACTTCGACAGCTTGCGCGCGGCCGCCGCGGGGGCAGCGAGCGCGAGAGCCTCGTGCGTGGCAAAATTGAAGTCCCCGAGGACAAAGGTGGTGTACATGTCGGGGTCGAGGGCAGCAGCACGTTGCGATGCTCGTATCGCGGCAGCCACTTCACGAACTTGCTGGGCGGACAGACCATGATTGTGAATGTTGAATATGTCGAGCGTGCGGCAGTCATCCCAAACACGGACTAGCATCACTCGGCCAGGAACCAGGACAGTGGAGGATGACGACGGAGCGGAGAAGCCCTGACAAGCCAACGGCGGAAGCACCACAGCAACCCCACCCCGCCGATGCCCGTCATCTGCGTCAGAGATGAAGCTGGAGTGGATCGTGAGGCCCGACGCAATCGACCTGAAGAACGAGTCGAGCTGGAAGTGGTCCTGGTGCACCTCCTGCAGCGCGATGACCGTGGATAGGGGACGGAGACTGAGAACATACTTTCTCTTCAGAATGGCCTTATCCCCGCCAGCCTGAAGAAGAGCCCGAGAATTCCAAGTAGCGATCCGAAACGTAGGCGCCGCTGACCCAGGCGGCGGGGGAGGAAGATGAAATAGTCCAGCAGCGCTAAAGACACCACTGGCTGGGGTCGGACGGATGCGTGAGCTCCTTGACAGCATTGCGAAGCGTGTCGATAGCCATGGCGTGCTTGGCAAGCTGCGCAGAGTCCCAGTAGATCTTGGGCGGGGTGTCGCCATGGAAGACGTTGACGTGCATGATCTTGTCCCACCCAATGGAGAGGACGCCATGCTCGCGGTCGGAGTAGAATCGCTTGCCTGGGTACTGCAGCTCGATGATCGCCCTGGCCTTGCGCAGGGTGACCTCGGTCTTGATACGCTTGGGCGACTTGTCGGGGCCCAGGTGCAAACGGCAACGCTCGGCGCCTGGAGGGTCGACCCAGAACTCTTTCCAGCCATCGGGTCCCTTGAGGAGCGAGGTGGCCTTGCTGGCACGGCGCGAGGCGATGGTGGCCGAGCCCGAGAAGCAGATCTCGAACCTCCTGGCCGGGGACTCGCCTTTCTGCTTGATTTCATACTGTTCATCATCAAAGCCAATCTCGCCGAGCCACGGGCGTAGCGATGAGACCACTGACGCCAAGGTAGTCGGTCGCTGTGAGACGGCAACAACGATCGTGGTGTCCTCCTCGCGGTCGAAGGAGGTGGGAGCAGCCAGCTGCTTCCTGGGGGTCTGTTCAGCGATGGCCATCTGGCGACGTAGCTCCGCCAGCTGGTCTTGAAGATCCTGGATGGACTTGTCATGCTCGTCAGCTCTGCCCTCCAGCGCGTCGATGCTGCGCTTCTGCTCGTCGAGCTGGGCTTGGAGGCGCCTGTTGAGCGAGTCGAGTCTGGGGGCGATCGCCGATTGAACCTGGCTCTCGATGGCACTGGATTGTTTTGCCACCTCGCCCTGCATGGACGACAACATCTTGAGCAACGTGTTGTGATTGGAGGTGATGGTCTTGGCGACCGACTCTGACACCTCGGTGGTGATGGTGTCTCGCATTGAGGCAAACTCCTCTCTGCACAGTTGCCGAAGAAAGTCACCATCATCATCGTCATCATCGTGAGGAGAAGGAACAGGAGCACCGACACAAGACGAAGCGAGGGCCTGGCGCTTGCGCTGGGTGAAGCGGCCCGTTCCCTGGCCTTTGCCCGAGCGCTCGCCGTCGGGGAAGGTGGGCATCTCGTCAAGCTCAGCAAGCATCTGGCGCTCCTGGGTACTGGCAGGCGCGGCAGGGACTGCATCAGCCATGAGACGCACTGGAGGTGGGGGTGTCCGCCAGCCTTTGACAGCTGGGTGGCCCTGGAAGAAGGGCTGCCTCACTCAAAACGGGCCTGTCCCGATCTTGAGCCAAAATGGCAACGGAGGAGGAGGAGGAGGAGGAGGAGGATGAGGATGATGATGATGAGGAGGAGGAGGAGGAAAGCCTCAAGAGCGCCGAAGAGCGGCCCAAGCGCGTCCCAGAAGGGGCCCAAGAGGCGATTTCGAGGGCTCTTGGGGCCCAAGAGCGCCCAAAAGGGACCCCCCCTCTTTTGACCGATGGCCTCCAAGATGGCCCTAAGAGGCCCTCCAGGGCTCCAAAGCGTGCCCCCCAAGAGGGGAAGAGACGTAGAGAGGGGCGAGGTGGAGGCAGGAAGAAGGGGGGGGCAAACACAGAAGGGATGGCGAGTAAGAGGGGCGACGGAACAAAGGGGGGTGAACTGGACATGGCGCTGGACCGAGAAGCTGACACGCAGGGAAAGAAAAGGGAAAGGATGGAGGGGAGAGATGCCCAAACGTGTCCTGACCGAGATTGGTTCGTTGATGGAATCTACGCTCAGGGGCCCATGTCCGGTTCCATCACTGAGAGTCGGTTGCGCGCCACTTGGTTTCGTTCGCTCGGAAGGGGCAGCGAAGAACGCCTCGTACTCTGCGTTCAGGATCTTCCTGTACAGTTCGGCGTGGTTCTGATCCCCAGGCGCCTGAAAGACAGGTGCATGATGGTGGAAGCGGTGGCTGAGAAGGCGCGGCTAGCAGCGTGCATGCTTGGGCAATCGCAATCTGATTCAAACACCAATCAACAAGATCTGGAAACCAGACGGTTGAACTCCAAGAGAAAATCTCTCACACACATACACACGCACCCACCCACCCACCCACCCACCCACCCACCCACCCACACACACACACACACATACAAGCACACACACACACACACGCACACGCTGCAACCTGTAACGATATTAGCATTACATCGAGCGTGTTTCACGTGGGCTTGGCTGAAGAGACGAGTGGATCTACCGAAACTGGAGGGCATAGCCCCCCGACGGGCAAGGTGAGGTGGAACAAAAACAATGCCCAACCCCTCAACGAATAAGGGAGGGAGTATAGAAACCTCAGCACCCCCCAGCCCTTGCAGGGGAGGGGTAGTTCCGAATCCCCCCCATCGTTTCGCGCTGGCAACCGCTGACGACGCCAACGCCGACGCCCACGACGGCGACGACCATGGCGGCGACGAAGACTGCGAAAATCGACGACGACGATGTCGACGACGACTGCGACGACGACAACGACGAGGACGACGACGTCGACGACAAGGACGAGGACGAGGACGAGGAAGAGGAAAAGGACGAGGACGAGGACGACGACGCCGACGGCGTCGACGACAAGGACGAGGACCAGGACGAGGACGAGAAGAGGAAGAGGACGAGGACGAGGACGAGGACGAGGACGAGGACAAGGACGAGGACGACGCCGCCGCCGCCGACGACGACGACGACGACGACGACCGCGAACACGACCACGACGCCGACGACTGCGACGATCGTTGACGATGACGACGGACGACGATGGCGACGGACGACTGCGACGACGACGACGACAACGACGACGACGATTCGACCTTGACGGCGACAACGACGACGATCAACGACAACGACGACCTTGACGACGACACGCACGGCGACGGCAACCACAACGACGACGGCGACGACGACACCGCGCGCGGGACATATAAGCAGGCGGGTCAGGCGGGTCAGGCGGGTCCCGGCGCATCAGGGGGGCGGGACAGTAAAACAGGCGGGCGGGCTTTCATGCAAGCGATCGGGCGGACGCCAACGGGCGGGCCGGGCGGGCGGGCCCCAACGGGTCGGGATGGCGGACCCCAACGGGCGGGCCAGGCGGGCGAACCTCAACGGGCGGGTCGCGCGGGCGGCACTTTGGCGGCACATTACAATCAACGCGTAGAACGAGGATGCGGGCCTTGGAGGGCCAGGGCGACACTTTTCGAGCGGGGCGCGGCCAGCTAAAGTGGCCAAAGATGGGCCGAAGGGGAAGGATGCAAGCGCAACCTTGGAAAATAACTCATCCTTACTAACAGTGTTGACTATAGAGCGGGCGGGCGGGCGGGCTTTCATGCAAGCGAGCGGGCGGACCCTAACGGGCGGGTCGGGGCGGGCCCGGCGGCCAGTACACTGAAGCGGGCGGGCGGGAGTTCATGCAGGCGAGCGGTCGGGCCCTAACGGGCGGGTCGGGCTGGCGGACACTAGCGAGCGGGCAGGGTGGACACAGAGAGGAGGATCGGAGTGACTAACCCTAACGGGCGGGTTGGGTGGGCGCGACATTGAAGCGGGTGGGCTGGTCTTCATGACAGCGAGCCCGTGGACCCTGACGGACGTCGTCGTCGTCGTCGTCGTCGTAGTCGTCGTCGTCGTCGTCGTCGTCGTCGTCGTCGTCGTCCTCGTCCTCGTCCTCGTCCTCGTCGTCCTCGTCGTCGCGTTTTCTGCCGGGTCAGGCGGGTCGCCGTCGTCGTCGTTGTCGTCGTCGTCGACTTCGTCGTCGTCGTCGTCGTCGCCGTCGTCGTCGTCGTCGTCGTCGTCGTCGTCGTCGTCGTCGTCGTCGTCGTCGGGGGTCGTCGTCGCTGGTCGGTCGGTCGGTCGGCGGCAGTCGTCGTCGGTCGTCGTCGACGTCGTTGGTGGTAGGTCGTCCCTGCCGTCGTGGTCGTCCTCCGTCTGCTGACGCCAAGGGGGGGCTCCGCCCCTCTCCCCTCTCTAGCATGGGAAACGGGGGGAGTAGATCTGCCCCCCTCCCGTCTGGGCCCCTGGGAGGGGGTAGGCGTCAGGACAGCCTCCTCCTGCTCGTCGTCGTCGTCGTCGTCGTCCTCCTCCTCCTCCTCCTCCTCCTTCTCCTCCCCTCCCTCTCTCCCTCCCTCCCCTCCTTCCCTCGGTGTTCGTGCTGGCCCCTCCGACGGGTGGAGGGGTCCGCTAACTTCCTACTCCCCACGTTGCACCCAGGGGGGGGGGGAGGGGGAGGAAACCTCACGTTCACCGGATCCCGCCAGACGCCCATGCAGCACATTCTTGAAGACGTTCAGAAAATGCAAACAGCCAATCGGTGTGGACCCGAGGAGATGCGAGGGAAGGAGAGACCGAGGATGCGCACACTCGCTGGGAAACAAGGGTAAGGTGGTGAACGCAATCTGACCCCAATGAGATTATCCGGATTCTTGGTTTCAAAAACTCGGTTTCTCACATCACCTCAATTGAATTCCATTGCCATTTTGGCCCCGTCTTGTAGTCCCCACTGACGCATTCCAGCCACCGCCCCCTTGAAACACTATTAACAACAAGTGGTTGCTAGAGGCGGCCAGGGGGTCTGAACTGGTTGGGACCTTAGACAATCGGCCAGGAGGTGGGATGAAGCCAAGTCTGCTCAAAATCGGTCCCCAAACCACTCTGGGGGTCAATCTGGTGCAGTGTTTCGCCCAGGATCAGTTGTTCACGGCCGCAAGCCCTGAAAACGACCCCAGGAGGTCGCAAGAGGCCCCCCCCCAAAACCGAACCAAGAGCCTCGAACCTGCCCGTCCCTCTTGCTGGCCAGAACTAGTGCTGGGCCACCTCAGACCACCAGACGGCCCCAACGTGGTTGTTCAAGATGTCCTCTGGACTGCACGCTCCGTTCGAATAGTGGGACCCACCGCCACGCAAACCATAGCCAGCCGGGCGAGAGGAAGCAACGCAGAAAGGGGTGAACTCTAACAGTGTTCACAACATGTAAAAGCTTGACGCGATGGGTCGAAATGAAGCTATCAACGGCCAGGGGAGGCTACTCTTGCAAAAACTATAACGCAGATGCATGGCATACGTGAAATCCTGCGACCCAAGCAATGAATATTTGCTATCGTTCGCTTGCGCACGGTTCAATGGTATTCCTGCCGGCTCGGGCCCGAATGCGGGCGTCGATGTCGCGACGATCCATTGAACAACTCGCGCGATGTGAACTCCAGGCTCCGTGTACCCCCACCGTAAATCGCCACAATGCCTCGACTACACCGATCCATGGCAACGCACGTTGCTTCTAGCGCACTCCCGCGTGTGCCCCGATGACATGAACAAGACACGGGAGAGGCATAGGGTGGGAAAGGGGGAAGTGAAGTCGAAACGACCACCAGGGGCAAAATTCCGCGCCCTGCATGAACAACACAGAGAGGAAGAGAATCAGGAGGAGACAGAAAAAGAGAGAGAGAGAGTCAATGCGAGAGCTGGGCAGGTCCAGAAAACTCAGGCAGGTTGGGGGGCACCGGCCAAGAAAGAGGATAAGGATGAGGAGGTTGGAGCGTCTGGGGGGGAACGGGTTATCCGAAACCTCGCCCCATCTACGCCTGGGCCGCCCACGACGAGTACTGCGGAGGGGCATTTCGACTGCCTGAAGGGCCGCGCGCGCGAAGGAGGTGGCATCAGCCACATTCGAAGCGAGGGAACACCGCCTATTCTCCTGATGGGCGAGCCTCCAGAGCTGGAAATACATGGCAGTGAATGTGATTAGGGTGGGCAAGACCGAAGGCCAGGCGGGGGTCAAAAAATGGGGGAGCGGCTAAATCATATCCGAGCTGCCTGCGGATGAGCATATACATGGGCGAGCGCTCAGCATAATGATGCTTGAGCGAGTCGCGGGCCCCAGGACATTCCCATACGCAGCCCCTGTACGGGTTGCGCATCCTAGACTCCGTGATCCACCCACCTCCCCACGTCTTACAGCGAAGCATCGCCGACACGACGGGCGACCAGTCGATCGATCGCGGCAGCATCGGCGGGAGAGACCCCAAACCAGAAGTTAAGACGAGTGCCCAGACGCCGATGAAGGAGAAGAGGGGCAGGAGGGACAGAGAGCGACGATCGAAGGAGGGAGGAGTAGAGGAGACTCTGCGCGCGCACACGCGGCGCCAGCTTTTGGCCCCCGCCCAAGCCGTCCTCTGCAGCAGGGCCAGGGGGGCACGCGCATCACAGGTGGGGTGGCTTCAACAGCCCTCCACGATACATCGTTTCATCGATATCATGAGCCACGCGCCGGGCTGGCGCAGCGAGAGCCTGGCAGAGGTCGCGGACGGCGACGGAGGGAGGCGAGCCCCCGCGATCACTCGCCCCCTGCCCTATGGTCGTGGCGAAGGCGTCGCTCTGCCACCACGCCGGCCACGGCCGCCTTGTGGCCGCGCGCGCGATCGGGAGGTTCCATCTGGCAGCGCGTCGGAGGTCAGCGGCCGCACCGCGCCAGGACGTCAGCGCCATCGTGGCCGCGCGCGCCGGCGCGGCTGAGCACCGCAGGGGGGTCGAAGGAATGGCTGGTCGCCGACCTCGGGGAGTTCGCGTCATTCTCCGTCTCCCAAGAATCCCCCAGGGAGACGGGGCAGCCTCGAAAGCAGGCCGCGCTCCACCTTCTTGAAGTCACGCAGCGCCTCGACGAGCTGCGCATTGTGCCCCGGCGCAGAGGCGCCGTTCGCGGTAGAGGAACACGGCGGAGTGGGCGTCGGCACGGCCCCTGGCGCACTCCCCGACGTTGTCAGCATACTTCGCGAGCGGCAGTCACCATTGAGCAGCAGGAGTCGCACCTGGCCCCGTCAGCACGCCCAGGTACTCGAGGGAGTCGACAACGTGGAAGGTCCCCCAGGCAGGGTCGGCAGCCGCCAGGCGCTCACGTGCGCCAAGGG